TATATACACACACATCATTAAATTAAATTTCTTTATCTGATTTTGTCCCATGTTCTCATTGACCATGCATATTAAAAAAATATCTGACTATTGTTCCATCCCATCTTATACTTGTTCCACAATACACTTTCTGATATGATTCTAATTTGCCTTTACTGGCTATTGTATGCTTAAATTAATGGATTTATAATTGTAGAGCCTGAAGAATTTATTGAAAACAATTATTCGCTCTAAATAGTTTGTTGTGAATAAATTATGGGAATATTCAATTTACTGAAACTATATCGTTCTTCGATATTACTATTCTTTCTCCCTCCCTTTTACTTTCTTCTCTGTCTTTGTGTGCTTCATGGGGAAGGGTGTGGCAACTCGAACTGCTGCACATCTGTGCAAAGTTCTATGTTGAAACCAGTCAGTCAGTCCTCTGGATGTGAAGGACCAGTGGTTGAGGAAATTTTATGACATGGTATTTAGCTTTCCACAGTGACACAACAGTTTCCACTCTATTGTCATTCCTCCACATTCTTAGAAGCCTCATTAATCCCTTTGTCTCCAAGTAAAGAGAAACCAATTACATACACACACAAGCACATGTGTATATCTATCGTTGCATAACTTCTCTTCTCTGCTCATTATAAATTATTTGTCTGCTACTAATGTTTTAAGTGTGACCACTACTTACGACGACGGCTAGTTGTCCTCTGTTGTACACTGTATCGATTACAGTCGATACTGTGCTATCTTATGGTATGTAACCATTTAGCTTGCTCCGTTCGCCTACACCTGTAGATATAATGAGAGTCTTGTTTTCTAAATCATACATAACTAATGACACTTATATATTTATAACTAATCGATCAAAAATTATTATTATTACTATTATTATTGTTTCCTTTAATTCCTAGAGGAACATAGAGCTTCAGCCGCCCGTCTCCATTGCGTCCGGTTCTCTGCTAGAGTCTTCACCTGGCTCCAAGTCTGTCCACACGTTTCCATCTCCTCTTCACGTGACCTCCTCCAAGTCACCCTTGCACTGACGACCAACTCGCCGCTTCCCTTTCGGGTTCCACTCGAGTAATGGCTTGTCTAGTGATGTCACTTGATGGTTTCCTAAGAGTATGAACAATCCATCTCCATTTCTTCCTGCCTATTTGTTTCACAATCGGTTCCTGGTTGGTTCGCTCCCAAAGATCCCTGTTGCTGATCTTTTCTGGCCATCTGATCTTGAGTATTGAGCGAAGACAACTGTTAATGAAGGTTCGTAGTTTGTTTGAGATGCTCTTTATGACGCGCTGGCCAAGTCTCTGATCCGTATAGTGAGTAGCAATGACTTCACATTGGAGTTGAAAATCCGGATCTTATTTTTGATGCTGAGTGCTGTTGACTTCCACAGAGACTTGAGAGTAGTGTAAGCTTGTCTTGCTTTTCCGATTCTTGCTTTGATATCCTGGTCAGTTCCGTCTGCCTGTAGTTGAAACGATGCTTCCCAGGTAGGTAGGTAAAAGAGGTTGTTTCTTTCAGGTTCCTCCCATTTATGCTGATTGTTGTCAGTTGTTGTTGTTGGTGGTGGTGTTTCCCAGGAATTTTCATCACCTCTGTTTTATCTATGTTCACCTGAAGTCCTAACTTTGATGCTTCTTCTGCCAACTTGTTGCTTTTCGCTTGCATGTCTTCCAGTTTGTGGGAAATCAATAGAATGAGGGTTTCAGAGAGAGAGAGAAAGAGAAGATGCAAGGTAAATATTTTAAAAAAAGGATAGAAATAAAACTGAAATCCATTTCTGTTAGTCACACATTTCAATGAGAATAAATAAATCCACATTGGAAAATGAAAAGGATGGTTATGAAAATAAAATGTGACCACACAAAATAAGGTTTACAAAATAATACACTTTCTGATTCTTTTGCATTCTAAATGAAACATAGGGCTTCAACTTTTTGAAGTTTCACTAGCAAAATGGGGCTAGCTAGCCTCACCTCCAAGATTTGCTCTTTTTCTGGGCTTACAAAACTGTCTTGTAAACTAGGCGAGGTTAAGTCGTGTGTCACTCGGGAATCGAACCCAGATCTGTCGTGTGGTTGGTGAGCATTCTACTATCGAACCACCGAAACATTACAAAAATTACACAACGTGACATGACTAATCCGGTATCGCTCAGCCTAAGGTAGGCGCGCATTGTGGCTGTATGATCTTCGTTTGCATAAACCAATCTTCAATTGTCACTTCGAATGTCAATAGCTTCAATTACTTATTCAGTAAACAAATACGAAGTCAATCTGAACGAAGAATATTCTTTTCAATAATTTCTCTTCAGGTTCTTACAACTATAAAATATATTTGTTGTCGTTATGATAATAGCCAGTTATGCGGCGGATACATTTTTTTACGTAGAATAACAGATTAATCATGGGTGTCAAAATATATAATATTTGTGTAACAAACGTTCTAGGCTGAAATCGATTATAAAATATTGTGAAATGAGAGACAATGGCAATACGAAGTCCATTGGGAAGATTCGATAAGAAGGGGGAGGGGGAAGCAACAAATAACCGAGGAAGCATTATCGACCAAAAAAGAGGGAAATGAGGTTTCGAATACACCTTGCCTTTCGTTTAACTGAGGCAGAATGAAAGCTGTTCTATTTTCACATGAACACAGTTCAGCTGATAAGCACATACATGGATGATGCAAAACCAGCCAGCTTATAATTTCTTTGAAATCAAATCGCTTATCCTACAGTTTACTAAAAGCATTTATGAAAGTCCAGAAATTCAATAATATATAGAGTATTTAATTGAATTTCGGATTTTCCCGTCGATTGATTGGACCAAGTGCTCGGTCTCAGGTTGACATGTCGGCTTCTTGTGCAGATGCTTCGACGATGTCTGGGCATGTAATTGGAATTTAATTGGTGGATTCCACTACTAGTCACCATCCACCAATTAAATATATAGAGTATTATTTATATTTAAAGTCGGACACACATCATAGACTCGGTTTGTGCACTTCAAGAAGACCATATGACTGTAACGTATAACTCTATGCTGCTTTTAATAAATTATATAAAGTTGCTGAAACTGGTTGAGGCTATGTTCACTTAAACTAAGAATTGTACACTGTGTGTATTTAGAGGGAGATATTAAAGACCTTATACCCTTTCTCCTTTGGGTGAAGAAAGGCTAAGTATGTATCCACTTGATCACTTTTGTTAACCTTCTGAAATGACTTATTTATTCAAGCTTTGCTTCCATAAGTATGCTGCTTCGCCTTTCTCATCGTCATCCACTTCTCTTTACTCATGATTATTATTACTACTTTTATTAGTGGTAGTAGAAGTATTCACAGTATTATTACTACTACTTGCATAATTCACATACATTTTATCATTCTTTCGGTGACCTGCTTGAACCACTGGTCTACTTGAATTTCCATTCAACACAATGTACCAAATTTTCATCTGTATCCTATGGTTGTTTTACTCGTTCATACACGTCCTTAGGTCGCGAAATATCCTCAGACATGTCATTCTATTTGGCTTCTTACACCTACTGAAGCGCATTTCTTGGGAACAGAAGAAAAATTTCATAAGAGGCTAGTTTATGCTTCAGATTGAACAGCATAGCATCACATGAAATGTACTATACATTGCTATTTTATTTGAAAATTCTGGATAAAGATAAAATATTGTCCATTAAATTACACTGAGAGCTGTGAACAGTGTGTACACACTGTGTGTGTCAGAATACAGTAATTTTTACTCTTATAACCCACGTTGATTCACTGTAGGATATCTATAAAGAGGTCTAACTACTGAGAATAATTTTATGCACATCATCGCTACATTGATAACTTCTCTGAATGAAAACTATTCACATTTATAGGAATGTTAAAAATGAATAAGCTTTTAGAAACCCCTGGTCTAACAGGACGAATACCACTGAAACGTCTTCAGTCTAATATTCATTAAGAATTTATTGGAATGCCCGATGTTAAACACTGTAGAAATACCCCTGGTTAAAAAATAAAACCGGACTGAATAGTCTTGAATGTAGATCTACTGGTGTGTTGATCATACATGATTTATACAATTTTGTTGTGGCAGTGTGTTCTCTGAACTGGATGGTTTAGTTGTAAAGCTTTCATTGTCTGAAAGCCTGGTATTCAAGTGAATCATCAATCAATAGACATATTGACATAGACAAGAAGGAAATCACATGAACAAAAGGCCAACTTTCAGGTCAAGGAAATAATCAACACCAATACAAGTGGACTAGAGGGTGGCAAAATACACAAAAACAACCAATCACGTTCAAGGTTATCAGGAGGGATTACTAATAAACCCATAGAAAATTTTAAAAGCTCACTTCAAATTGAAGTATGTGCTGAGGATGTTGTCTAGTGAGACAATGAAAGCTTCACAACTAAACCATTCAGCTTAGAGGACACAACTACACCAAAATCATCCACCTGGGTTACAAATCTTCTCTATTATATGATTTATACAATGCCGACGTTTATGAATTTGTCAACCTATCCATGTAAGATTATATTAAAAGACACGAAAAGTTGTGGGGTGACATGAAGTTAACAGTCCTGACTAGCGATAATACAAGTTGAGGTGCTTGTCATCCAATGGAAATATACCTTATTTACATTAGGACATGACAGCGTCAGTGGTTCAGCGGTAGAATGTTTGCCAGCCATGCACATAGTCCGGGGTTAGATTTCCGGCCAGCGTACGACCTTTGCTTCCATTAGCTGATTTTAAGCCCGACAAAGAGAAAAGGCTGGGTATGAAGCTAGTAACTCCACTCCATAAAAAAGATACCACTGTTACCGTAACTTCAAGACTAAGGCTTGAAGCACAATGTTCCACTGGGATTACTACATGAAGAGTTGGTTAATCTTAATTAAAGAATTCATCAATACATAGAGTAATTGGTTAAATTTCCTTGTGAGTGCGTGTGCATGTGTACGTGAGGCGATAATTATGAACTTACGGATGTAAACATAACTGAACAGTAGTATAAATATCTCCTGTAACAAGACTTCTTTTTAAGGTCTCCAATAACTGGTCAGTTGTCCATCCACTGAAATCTAAAATTTTAAGGGAAAAAGTGGAAAAGAGATTAGATTTTCTAAGAAATCGAATTTGTTAATTTTGTCCATGTGCATTGGCGGTAGAATGCTCGACATTCAAGCATGTAGTCTGGGTTCAATTCCAGACCGACGTATTCCTAAATTTCGCTCAGTTTACTAGCTACTAGTGAACTCAGAAAAAAAGAGGGAAGGTTGGGAGTGAGATAAGCGGAACTCCACCCCGCAAAAACGACACCACCAACTCTGAAAGCATGAAGCTCTATGTTCCACACAAAAGGGGAATGAAAAAAGATGTATACGAGGGAAATAGAATGAATAAAGAGTTTCAGTGCGAATTTAATGAAAAAGGACAAATAATATACATAAAGTGAAACCAATTTTAAATGATGCACTGTGATTTCTATTGGATAGTAAAAACAAGGACTTGATTGAGGCTACAGAGAAACACTTGTTACAAACAAAGTGGATGAGCTTTCAATAAAGAAGCTAACATAATTCAATTTATAATGAACTCGGACAACGAGGTTCCTGTCTGAGAGATCGGTCGACATGATGAAAAAGAGTGAAGGCAACAAAAACACTACTACTGTAACGACAGAAGACAAGGGCCAGGCAGCAGATCGTTCATTGTGAAAATAAACAGATACTTATATATTTTTATGTACATTATTATTCGTTATTTTAGCAGAGAAACAGCGTCTTCTGATTGATCGTGTTTTCACTGGAAGTTATGCTGTCATCTCTTTGTGCCCGTTTCTTTGATGTTCAGACCATATATCTGCTAATCGTATCCACCCACGCTGTCTTTGTTCTTGCTTTTCTCATGACCAAGATTTGGGACGTAAACATTGACGTAAATTGCTGTCTACCAATTTTGGCTAGCAGACAGCTCTCACCACACTACTACTACTACTACTACTACTACTACTACTACTACTACTACTACTACTACCAAAGGGTCTATCTACTGAAAGTCAACCTTTCCAGGGCAGTAACACTAACTTCAACAGTTGGTCTACCTCTAGGTAGAAAGGGAAATCTTATCCATTCTTTATGCTCCAGAATTCGGAGAATTCGCCCTATAGATACAGCGACAAAGAACTCGATAACTTTCGCACAACTCACTTAAGTACTGGATATCCTAGAAGGTTTATTGAAAGAAATATGAAGAAAGAAACCGCTCCCAGACAAATGACAGTGCCAAAGAAGACACTGTGCATAAGTGTAGTATTCAAAGGTGGGCGAATTTTAAGTACCACGTCCCATGGGATGCGGACGCACGAGTAACCTTAAGCCGACCAATCATCAAAAAAAGTCATTTTACACAAAAAATGACGTTTATTTACAAGAAAATGCACGAAAACACACTAGACAGGGTATCTTTCTCTGACATGACTTACATGTCTGACTGAATATGTGCTTTTTTTTATTAACTGTTTACCGCTCTTATCCTGTTTTGCCGTCTTCCTCACAAGTCCGCGACTGAATGACTATGGTTTCCAGTAATAAAATCGACGACTACTTACTGGGTGAATACGGATAATAAAACAAATTAAAATAAACAATACCAACCCCAACCCTAACCTTAATCTTGACCCTAATGATCTATTAAAATATTGTCCAAACAGTAGTTAGAAACGTGATCTGGGTGAAATTTGTTCCTTAGTTGGTGAAGAGCGTTCATATACTTTACATTAATGATTTTTTAACTTCGCCCAAAGTTGCCCCTATTACTGAAGTGATTAAAAGCCGTTTATCCAAATGTATCAAACAATCTTTTCATGTCACTGACTTACACTTAGTATTTGCCAACAGAATTATGATTCGACAGTTCATCAAAGATAAACTAACACTTCTAAGCGCATCTACTCTTTCACATTTTTCTGTGGAGCTGATTACATTGTACATTGTGTGTTCTCCGAAGACGCGTAGATGAACACTACTCAGGTTTGTTTGATGGCAGACGAACATAAGATGACGATGTCTTCTATCTATGAACACATTCTTGATTCAGGTCATTCAGCCCCATTCAATCATTTATCCTTAAAAGTTATCATCAAGGCCAAATTCAGTCACCCCAAAACTTCACATTTTCTCCACTTATGCAGAGCCAAAGCTCTGGCTATACATAGACAAAACTTGAACTATGTATTGAAAAACGTATTGTTAAATCCCCTTCTTTACCTTGATCATAGTAATGACCTTTTCATTTTATTTTATTTTACCATACATGTGTATAAATCGGTTCACCTCACCAGTTTGTGTCTGTGGCTTAGCGGTAGAATGCTCTCCAACCACACATGTGGTCTAGGATTCAATACCTAGCCGACGCACTCCTTTACCTCGTTAAGCCAGTCGGTCGGTTTTCGACATAGAACTTTGCACATATGTGCGGCAGTTCAAGTCGCCACACTCCATGTAGCACACAAAGCAAGAGAAGTAGAAGAAATGCATAATATAGACAGTAAACAGAGGTGTGAGACAAAGGAATAGTAATAACGGAGAACAAAACAGTTTCATTGGAAATCATAAGTCACAAGGAGTGCATGCATCTGCGCCACTGAGAACGATTTTGAGCCATGTCACCAATCGTTTCCAACCATTGGTTTTTACCGTCCCGAGGACCCCAACCAGGAAGTCTACATCTTCCTACGTGGCTTAGACTAACTGTTGTAGATTTCATTGACTGGTGCCAGTAATAAAACTAGTAAAGAGGGAAGGTTGGGCATGAGACTAGCAACCCCATCCCGTAAAAATAAACACCCCTGCTACCAAAACTTCACACTTCTCTAGCTTGATGCCCTGTGTTCCACTGGGAACGTAAAGGAATAAAATATTAATAGAAATCATTCTATCCTATATCAGCATAGATGTGACTGGTGAGTGGTAGAGCAAAAGTGATAAATAGTACCAAGGAAAATCTGAGACAGGAAGTGAAACATAAGAGAAGCTTTGAAACTTAGTTATTACTCTAATAAATTAATCAAGGAGTATCTGGGATTTTGTAAAATTAGAACTAATAATAATAGTAATGGTAATAAGGACGACATGATGAAAATTCAAAGAAAGATTACAACGCCTATAATAGCGATTTTAAAACACCAGCAGTGCTTCTATACAAAGAAGGAACCTCTGAAACCTTACGTAGAATTCTTAACAAAGCAGGAATAAAAGCAGTATTCAAACCCACTTAAGAAGGAAAAATGTCACAGGGGGGACACTAGACAAAACAATTTAGTTCAGATACATACTGAAAAGTCCCACAAAATTAGGATGAAACGAGTGTCCCGTGCTTCTTAGTTTTTAAACGATACTCTTAATTACACTGGTTTGTGATGAAATCAATCTACCGTAAGACACTGATAATAGTTATGATCAATAAATTGTGATCGAAACGCCTAACTTGCTCAAATAAATAATTCATGTGAAATATATTAAATCTAGTTAAGACTCAGTCACTCAGTATAGACTTTTCATTTACCAGACTGATGCGTCGACTGAATGAAAGAGGGGAGGCTGCAATAAAACCCATTGACCCATTAATTGTTCATTTTCCATTCTTCGCATTCCGAGGGGAACATAGGGCTTCAGGCTCTGAGCTTTCGAGATTTAGAAGCGGTGGTGTTGCTAGCTTCACATCCAACTTTCCGTTTTCCGAAATTTCTATCAGCTGGTGAGGTTAAGGAATGCGTCAACCACGAATCCAAACTAGACCACGTGGGTGATTGGCGAGTAGTCTACCATTGAACCACTGACATAAAACATGCTGTCAGGATGGGGTGGGTGCATACAGTACTAAGAAAAACTTATCTAATATAAAATTGTACTCTGCTACAGTGTAAAAGTTCCACTGATATGTTATGAGACAGTTTAAAATCACCTGCTTACTTTGACAATCAGATTTATCATAACCAAACAGTTTGGATAGCGATAGTTTCACAGATGGCGGTTCCACCAATCGAGCCTTGATTGAATAAACAAAAAGTATATATATATATATATATCACAAAAAGGTGTTACGTGCATGAAGATATTGATACTGTGAGACGACAACCCTCCTCTCTCTCTCTCTCTCTTCTACTTCACCTTTGACAATGACATTCGACATTCGCGTAAAACCATCGAACCCAAAATCTTTAATTTATAAGGTCGTAGGTCGTTTAGTCAATGGTTCACGAATTCTAATTTCTGTCAATTCACAATATTTTATGATAGTAGAAGTTGTGGACTAAAGGTAGATTTGATATTTTTTTGAATGGATAGGTAAACATGCAGGTGAACTACCGTTATACATTGACAAATACTTAGAAGCATGACAATGAATATCTGGTCACTTTATAGTTGCTACGCTTTAAGTTAATGTACGACTAGAATTTTGACACACAATACACAGTTGGTTATGCAGAATTCATAACTGGATGACGTCTTGAGCACAATTTATTGCTAGCAGTTGTATCAGTGTATTGACACACGATTTGATAACTTGTTTCATGGCGACAAAACTCATTTTTACAGATTATATAACTCAACAACTCATCACACGTTCATAGAACTATTCACATAATACTGACCGGAGAGACAACAAAATTTAAAAATCGCCAAATGGAAGAAAATGTTTAAAATGCTTCTTGTCGGTAGACAGGTCTTTACCAGAATACACATTAGCAATACATTCTACTCATTTGTGCTTGAACTCAATGACTCGAAACACAATTCGCATGTATCAGGTGATGAGCCAAACAGTGATTGCGTGAAGCCAGATAATTCAATCACCCAGTTACCTAGGCTGAAGTAAGCGGAGCGAAGTTCGAACTCAGGAAGCTGAATATTGAAGTCAATAAGTCATATCTCCTTTAAATCCGACATCATCAGTCTCATTGGAACTCACGTCGAGAGAATGGCCTGATATGGGTTACCTGTTTTGTTTTTGGGATAGTTTGCATTTCCTATTTATTAATAATGTTGGACCGAAATACTCCATCTCTGTTGATAGGTCAGCCCCAAGTATGGATGCTTCAACGATACCTGAGGATAAACATCATGTTATTTTGGTTGATAGTGACAACCAGTAGAATCCAGGATGCATACCTCGTCCTATTTGATTCTCGTGACCCAAATGGTCTCGTGTATAACGCTTTGACGACTGAAACGATGGGTCCTCGGTTCTAGTTTGCGTGGGAACACCAACTCTCACTGGGAAATACAGGAACATCCAGATGATAAGCCCCCAGGTAGGACGAACCAACATCTTGGATTCTACTGCAGGTTACAATCCACCAAATAACATCATATTAATCCTCGTGCATCGTCAAAGCGTATATACTGGTAGTTGACATTTCGACAGAGACCTAGGATTTAGATCCGATCAATCAACGGGTAAAACAAAATTGACGCATAGAAAACATAACTTAATCCTGAAAATACCTTGCAATGACTCTGAAGCTACTGAATCAGGGTCAATAAGCATATTAGAACACACAAATTTAGCTAAATGTAGAATGATTGAACCAATAAAGGTGACTAGTTTAGACAAAATCTCAGGAATATCAATGCATACACTAACATATACAGTCGCTTAATAGGGTGAGTAACAGAACCACAGTTCTAAAACGTAATCCAGTTAGGTTGATCAATGAACCATCGAATCTACACACACTACACACACTTGCAACAAGAATAATGAAACACAGCGATACTAGAGATATGGAAAATTCATGAACGAAAACGAAATCTAATTAAGTCCCTTACCACGTGGATCCGACGCATCTGCTGACAACCTGGAAGCTGAATTGGATCTTCTGAAGGAAACCTTCATCGAAAATGGAAACCCATCAAGATTCATCGACAAGAATATCAGACCAGAAGTCCATAGGAATGAAATACCACTTGTTTTAAAAAAGATACTTTACATGAATCTAGATTTCAAGGGGGACTTAGTCTGCGGTATCCTCAAGAGAAGAATTTCAGCATCTTTAAAGAGAACATTCTTTGCAGCAACGCTAAGAGTAGTGCTTTGCAGTAGTCCATTGGTATGCAGAAGCCTTAAGGACAAGATTTCGCATCTGACCACTTCTATGTGTATATATCAGTTCACCTGCTGCTATGGAGCCAGGTACATCGGTCGTTTGACGTCTATCCCGTCCAAAAGGATTCGAGCGCATTATCCCACATGACTACAAAAAAGGCAGTAGTGACTCTATAAGGAGTGCGATAATCGAAAACTTTGTCAACACTAACCCTTCCATCTCAACAAACGCCTCCTACAAAATAATCTACAGAGTCAAGAATAACCTACCAAAGACAATACACTTTCTAAAAATGGCCTTTGCATCGTTCTCTGGGTTCCTAACCAACAACACATCTAAGCACGCTCACCACGAATGCGACGAGCCAACTGGATGTCTTTTGGCATGATGGTAACACGCTTGGCATGGATAGCGCACAAGTTGGTGTCTTCGAAAAGACCAACCAAGTAGGCTTCACTGGCTTCTCGCAGAGCAGAAACTGCTGAGCTCTGGAAACGCAAGTCAGCCTTAAAGTCCTGGGCGATCTCACGGACAAGACGTTGGAAGGGCAACTTGCGGATCAACAATTCAGTGCTCTTCTGATAACGACGGATTTCTCGCAGGGATACGGTTCCTGGCCTGTATCTGTGTGGCTTCTTAACACCACCGGTAGCTGGTGCACTCTTACGGGCAGCCTTGGTGGCCAGCTGCTTTCTTGGGGCTTTTCCTCCAGTAGATTTGCGAGCAGTCTGCTTTGTACGAGCCATAGCGAAACACCGAGAGACGATGACACTTTCGTCTCCTTTGTATTGGTGAAGCCTTAGCCATCGCGTTGGAAAAACCAGGGTTATGCATACAAAAGAAAATCATCCAACCACTTCCACTATCATGGTAACAACCGTGATGACTTTTACTGACTTGATGTTTGTGAGCTTGTTCTTTTTCTAGCTCCTTTTGATATTTGTAACCTTTAGAACTCTTACGTAATCCCGTATTTTCCTTTGTTTCTACATGCATCCTAATCACGACTCACCCGTTAAAACTGTTTACCCTATTACGTAACTGTATTACGCTTATTCAAGTTCGTTTATGTGTTGATTAACACTAATAACTACTTTTTTTGACAACGCATTACCACTACCTTCTTACCAATCTTCAGCCCCCCCCCCTAGTTACAATTTGATTGTTCATCACGTTTTTTGAAATATTTTGATGATGTTAACAACAACCATAACTAATTTCTATTCTTATCTGACAAAGCTAATGTACACACACGCATACAAAAATAATTATATATAATTGAGATTGTACAGCTAAGTGAATGAATTCGCTGTAAAGACTCATCGCTGAACTACGTGTTTTGTTTTTCAGTAATACGGAAATTTTTTATTATCAATACAAAATCAAAGAATAGGAGGTGATTGAATTATGTGTCTCAAAAAGAGGTTATATGAGCACCCTGACATTGATTATGAGCAGCAATAAATTGTCCTTGAAACACCGTCTTCAGTAAATAAATAAATGATACTGTACCACTGTGTGTATCGCTCAACAATCACTTGAAATTTCATACCAAGTTAGCAATTAGTCAAACCTGATGAGTAAGGACTAATCATACCACCTAGCTGTTCAAACCTCAGTTGGCTGGAGGAGAGTGTGAACCCATAACCCACTCTATTCGGGTGGAGGTCAAAAGCACCCCCCCCTAGGCAGATGAACCACAGCTCCACTGTGTGTATATGTGTTCTGTTACATACAATTATTCTATGATGCAATCAATATAGAAAGATGAGTATTCTGAAAACAAATAACTAACAGGTGAACTTACGTGTATTATATTCCATAAGTCAAGATAATCTTGATAACTGTGTGTTTGTAATAATTGTTTAGCCTTATCACATACTGTTAATAAATATTCCATGGGACAATTCAATGCATTAGTGATACAGTCAATGAATTCTTGAGTTGATGAATTGTTGTCAACCAGTTGTTGACTACTACTATCACCAGATGATTCAAGTTGACTCAGATCAATCCATTTAATATTGACACAGTAGGCCTGTGATTCGGCAGGAATTGACTGATGCTGATGATCCGATGATGGGATTGTTATAGACTGTTGATGTTCACCACTGGCTGTTGTTTCTGGTGACTTGGAATGATCACCCCGTTTTAGTGTCATTGAGCTAAGAGTACGCGTACGCTTTTTTGATAGTTGAGACAATGATGAGAATATGACGAGTCGACCACCAAACTATGAGAAGAAATAAGAAGAAAGAATGAAATTTCTTTTTTTGATAATATTGTTTATTTAAAGCAAACTAATTTAGAATACAATTGTGTTTTGTCTTCGTGTATATCGGCTATAAGGTTAATGTGATAGAACGTAAACAATATTATTAGATGGTTAAAGACAATAGGAAGGAAGTCCCAAAGACTTAGGCTTCATGCATGTTGGCAATCATAAGCAAGGCGTATCTGCAACCTGGAAGGAACTTATGTCCCCTCTGAGATTCGAACGCGCATCACCCAGTCGTGAAGTCAAAGACGGTTCTACTGAGTCATTCCCGCTGAAGACTGAGGGCCTGTAGGACTGCCAAAAAGCACGAAACCTGAATCCATGGCTTTCTGTCGATTACCTCCGAACACCTAACATCTACTTGGGACACATCGTGATAGCTAGTCACCAAGTCTGGTGAACTGATTGTAAAATTGACTGATAGAATCCAGTCAGCCAGTACTAACACCAAAAACTGAGCGCATGATATTGGTTATACTCTCTAGTGACCGATCAGCTTATAAATAATATTTAGAACAACACATTTAAGCGAACAATATTGTTTTCAAATAGATCTCATCAGGCTTGACTCTAATATGCCTACATAACTTTACAAATAAAAATTCAAATATAAACCAATCATGGTATTTTGTCTATAGGATAATAAAATGGTGAATATAAATTGTGCAATTAGTCATAATAGTAGTAGTGATAATAATAATAATAATGGTTCTATCAATAATAAGGACGAAAAAGTAAGGCGATCTGTGATAATATGAATAACGAAAAACAGCATGATTAAACAAACAAATGTTCAGGTAGAATTAGTCCATAAAGGCTAAGAAAATCAATTGAACCGATTAAATAATGCTAGATTGTAAGGGAAGTAAATGAAATACGTTTTTAGTGAAGATGTGATAAGATTGAGAAATGATAGGAGAGGGGTTGAAAATATAAGTAAGGAGTGGTGTAGAAGTCATCAGTTAGTTATGTCTTAATAGACCAAGGGAGGGATAATGGTGGTACAACCTTCTTTTGGATGCATAATTTAGGTTTAATAGTTCGAATGCCTATCGCCTCAGCTGTGTGCAGTAGACGAATACGAAGTCTATTGGAAAGATTCGATGAGAGACGATGAATTACTTTGAAAGCTCTCGTTTTCTCCACTACATGACCACTATCAAGTGAATGTGACAAAATTGAGCTACGGATTGTTTTTGTCTGTCCTTTACCAAACCACCACGATGGGAGATGTTCACTAACACGTTGGCTAAGCTGTCTAGTAGTACGCCCAATATAACTGTCACCGCAGGTGCAGTTGAATTGATAAATACACATAGATGTGGCAAAACTATCTAGCTTATCCTTCGTTTGCGTCCCAATCATTCGTCGGCTAGAGAATGACAATCATAGGTACGATGCATAAAACGTTCTTCGTATACTCCTGGAAAGTCTTTGGAATAAAATCTCACTTGATAAGTCACCATTAAATTGTAACTTAATAAATAGAGGGTTTTTACGTGCAGTCAGAGTCTCAGGTTTTCTCTCTGATGTTTTCATATGTTTCTTCATGAAACTACTCGGATAGCCCATCTCAGTCAAGGAATCGTGAATATATTCAAATTCCTTTTGTAAGAGGTCATCCGTACATATCTTTCTTGCTCTGCTCGTAAGGCATTTAACAACATTTCTTTTATATTTAATGGGCACTTAACTAAGGAAGTGTGTATTACCCTGTGAATGTGCTTTTTCTATACACGCTTCTCCCAAGTGACCCATCTTCTCGCCTAATTAGCAAGACATCCAGGAAATGTAGTTTATTCTCCTGCTCCTCTTCACAAGTAAAGGTAAGCGAAGGGTGGATGTTGTTGAATTTCAGCAACCATTCGTCTACGTTAACATTCCCATCAGCTAAGATAAATGTATCATCGACATATCGGTAATATATATCAAACTCCTTGATAATGTCTTTCAGTTTCCCATTTTCAAGTTTTGCGAGAAAGAAGTCAGCTAATATTGGGCCCATCTATTTGTCGGTAGTATGAATTATTGAAGACAACGTGAACATTCATTGTGCATTTGAGAAGTGATTCTTTGAGGCTACACAAGGGAATTCCTAAGTCCAACTGCATTTCGGTGATTTCTTGACAAATGTAATCTACTGTTTCCATAAGCGGTACATTTGTGAATAGTGATGATACATACATGGATAACATGCGTTTATACCTCACATTAGTCTCAGATATTTTAGAAATAAAGTCGAAGACATCACTAATTCTATGTTGCACGATTTCTCTGTGCAAAGGTCCCAGAATCTTCACTAACCACTTCGCTGTTCCGTGAAATGGAGAGTTATACATATCTAAAACAGGGTGAAGAGGAAGACCCGGTTTGTGCACTTTGGGTAGACCGTAAAGACGTGGAGTATTGGTACCCGTTGGTTTCATGGACTCACACGTGGCTGATGATAATACTCCTATTTGGTTCAGTTTTTTGAAAGAGTCAGTCATCAGTTTCTCCGCTCTTACATTGAGGTCTTTGGAACTACCAAGAGATTGGAATTTAGTTTGATCATTCAAAATTCCTTCCATTTTCTCAACATAATCGCTTTTGTCCAGTAAAATATACCGTCACCTTTATCTGGCTTGCTAATAATTAAGCTTTCGTTACTTCTAAGTCCTCTTAGAGCTTCTCTGTGTTGCTTAGATAACAGATTATTTACTGAATGTCTATTGTTTTTGCATTGTTAGCGGCTGTCAACTAGCGTCGTTCTGAACCTAGTTAGTTCACCGTCCGATGATGGGGTAAGGTCTGATGTTTGAGAATACAAATTTTCAAACTTTATATCAGTGTCTAATTGGTTAACTTTAGGATCATAGTCACTAAATTTGGGACCTAGGGATAACAACTCCAATTGAAACTTATGACGCACGACACTGGAAAAATTGTGAACATACCGGCCCGGAGCTGACGGAAATTTCCTTTCAAGCTTTTGGCTTTCGAGAGATTCGACAAGACTAATCCTTTTATTATTCCTTCTTTTTACTGTTACGTTATTAACATACTCAATGAACATCAATTGTAATTCCTGAGGTAAATCATCAACTGAAAATTGTCTTTATGATATGTTCCTTTCTAGATCATTTATAAGAATTTTAACAGAATCAATCTGATTAAGGACATGTCTTTTTAAACTCTTAGGATTAGGTTAAATCCTTATTCGTCTTAACGACCTCGAATATAGTTTGGGATAACGTTCGGTTTCTACACATTCTTTGAAAAATTCCAACGATGTTTTCGCTTCAGCGAGCCTTGCACTAAACTAAAGTACACACACACAAATACATACAAGCCAGAATTACTTCCATTATACGTTTAGATGTTACTGTACGAGAGGAAAAACCAACCTTAGTGACATTCGGAAATGAGAAATGTGAAATGATTAGAATCGAATTTCCGACTTGCTATTTATGCGGCTCGAGATAAAATTTCACAACACAGTGTCCTTTGCAAACAAAAATTGTTCAGAAGTGACTTTAGAAGTGAGAATAAAAGTTGTAAATTACATAGTACTCAATGGCACGAAGGGAGAAAGGGTTGGAAATTTGATAAGGTAAAGGGTAGTTGAGTGTCAATTTAACAAGTGTGAAAATGTACAAAAGGAACATATGAGAGTGATAATAGTGAATTAATTATTAAAGTAAACTAAAAAGCGAAATTGCAAATTTAAAAAAATTTTTCTTAAATTTTTTTATTCATGAAACGACCAGTGAAGAGCTTAAGATCATGGTAGAATAAAAGACTGGACAAACTCTTTTTATATACAGAAATCTGGGTTGCATTGACGAATTGCCAGCGCCTCCGCCATACACAACCCTCTTTGTACCATTTAGCCCCACCTTGTAGATGATCTTGAAAGATGACTCACTTCTAAAGCCAATTCTGAGTAATTATAACTTATTGTATCTTTCCTGCCTGACCTTCCAGATTATTACGCACTGTATTTTTAATTTGACCTTTGACCGGAAATTGTTCAGTTCCCAGTATGCTTGTAATCTACTTGATACCATAGATAGCGATCAAGAAAACGAAAATCAATGTACAGTGACATATGCTACTGACTGGTTGATATGAGTAGTTGAACACCAGTAAGATTAATCATTAGTGAATTAGTCAGGTCAGATGCAATACAATGTGTTAATAAGATAAGCGAAATGTTGTCATTAAGTGATTTGGAATAAAAACACAGTGAAACAGGATAAAGTAAGGAAAAAACCACATAAATTTCTGTGAATCACATGTTTATTATAATAAAATTAACCTTATGGTGATGAAATGGACCGTGCGAATTGAAAGCTTTTATCGTTACAGAAAGCAAATGAAATCATGCATTGTTTTGCAAATTTCACAGGACCTAGTAAATTAGTTTGAAGGATGAATTAGAGGTGTTGTATAGTTATTGCATAATATGTGTCTTCATTTAGATGAACTGATAACTCTAAGCTCACCTTTGCTCAGCTAAGCTTTGGATGGAGAGGAGAGGGAGAGCTCTCAAAAACGATAGGATATGTTACTCAATGAATGCCCTGTGTATGTAGTCCCACAAGAGTAGATAGACATAAAAATGCACATAGAATCAGACAGTATTTCTTTCGCATTACGGTGTACCAGAGGATGACTTCAGTAAGTTTAATTATGATCAGTAGTTAAACAGATTAAGAAAGAACATTAATATAACCAAGGTAAAGAAGGAGGCTTATTTAAGACATATTTCAACACACAGTTTAGGTTTTTGTCAATGTATAACTAGTGTTTCGGTTATACATAAGTTGAAAAGACGTGAACTTTTAGAATGACTGGATTTATAACTGAAGATAACTTTAAAGAATAAATCGCATGAGTATGAATGATCTGAATAGAGAAGGTGTACACGAATGGAAGACTTCGTCAACTTATCTTCGTCTTTCATCAACCAAACTAGCTACGTGTCTAGGAAGAATACGCTTATAATGTCTAGTGTAATCAGCCACTCAGGAACATTTGAAAGAGTTGATGCACATAAACATGGACATAAGCGGTAGTTGTCGAATTATACTTCAAATCAAGCATAGATGATATAAATAAACAGCATAAAAAGAATGTTTTAATACATTAAGATTGACGACTCTTTGATTACTCCAACAATATTGACACCTTTCAATGTTAAACTCATAAATAGTTCTTGAATTTAAAACACACAATCCAATGTTAGTTATCATTAGCAGAAATAGATTTATGTGCAATTCAAAACCAAAGTGATACTCATTCACTTGAACTTTAGGTCCCTTTATTTCTATGATTAAGAATACATTGCAGATTTCGTCACAAACTAAGGTCAGTCAAAGGTCATCGAAAACTACACAGCACTAAATAGCTGTTTCATCCTAGTTTGGCACTCTTCAGTGCACGCAGCAGGGAGTAAGACTACATAAAACAAGTAATCAAGTTGTGTGAATACATTGATATAATTATGGGTGGCAATAAATTCTGCTCTAAGGGTTATCCAGTTTTTATACTATATCACTGGGACACTGAATTCCGGCCTAAGTGGCTGAGTGGTCAACGAACTTAGTCTCTTAACCTGAAAATCCAGGGTTTGATTCCTGGTGAGATTGTTGTTGTTGGGGACTGTTGAAGAGTCACAAGCTACAACAAAACAATTACTCAATGATCTCATGACAAAAATATATTGAAATTAATCCTAATACTCTGCAAGACAACGCATAAACTGAGTTTCCATTTGATTGGTTGCATTGAAAATCCGTAGTCTGTTATGGGAAAAATAAACCAATCAACTTACAGCAAAATTAACTCCACAAGGCTTCTTTAACCAACATGGTGCAACACGTAGCAGAGGCATAGGCTAGAAAAATTAATAAAATATAACTGATCTGAGAGAATAAATTTATTTATTTATCATACTGATAATAAGTACTAAGAAATTATTCGTTTCAACAAAAAGATTTCATTCAGAACCGTTGCTATCCAAGTACTGAGCTATCTCACACAATGAGAGTAAATTATTATTATTATTATTATTCCCTAGGGTTTTGTGTGAAACATAGGGTTTCAGCAACACACCTCCTTTCCATTCGGTCCTCTTTTCTCCTTTCTCAGCTGGTTCCACGACTGCTCATAAGCCTTCATTTCATCACACGATCTCTGTCACCCTCGTAGCCATTCTGAACTTGTCACTTCCCATTCGGGTTCCGAACGACAGTCTAGCGCATGACGTCACTCAGCAGTCTCTCCAGTGTATGTCTAATCCATATGCATCTCATTTGCATATTTTTCAGATGATAGGTTCTTGGTTAGTTCGTTGCTGGACTACATTGCTGCTCATCCCTTCTGGCCCGCTGACCATCAGTATCGTGGCAGCGGAGTAACCTGTCGATGAAAGTCTGCAGCAACCTGTTCAAAATACTTTTCGTAACGCGCACACCAAGTTTCTGGGCCATATAGAAGTACTAACTGACTTGACATTAGTGCTAAATATCCGGATCGTGTTCTCTGTGTTGAGTGCAGGAGACTTCCCCACTAATTTCCAAGTAGTGAAGGTATTTTGCTGCCCATGTCTTACTTTGTATTATTCTGTTGAGTTTATCTTATTTATTGACTGGTTAAGTAGCCAATTAAATTCTATCTTTGTGCCTATGCTTTGTCTATCTCTTACTTGGGTTCATTCTTCTACTGACTGCTTACCTGAACGGTCGTGTCTGATCCGGCTAGTTCGTAATTTTGGCTTTAACGTTATTCCGCTCTGATAGCGGTTCCTTGCTTTCTGTTAAGCATTGTGTATTGTACTCTTGAAACCGTTAAGGTTTGTTGTATATATATATATTAATTGATTTGTTTATTAATAGTACCGTAGAAACAGTGACCGGCTTCTTGTTTGTTCTGGACCGGGATAGCCTTTATCTACGCGTGACTTAATTTCAAGCGATATTGCGCTTACAGAAGGTCTGCCTTGCCTTACCGATTCTGTCCTTGACATTCTCATCTGTGTTGTCCAACTAGATAAGTGAAAGAGGTGACTTTCTTCAAAATTTTCCCGTTGGTTTTGATTGGTGCTTGTTATCCCTGGTTGATTATCTTCATCACCAGCATCTTCTCTATGTTCATTTGAAGTCCTATCTTCACTGATTTTTTTTGTAAGCTTGTTGGTTTTCGCCTGCAGATCTTCGAGTTTGCGTGACACTGGACATACATCATCCGCTAAGTCTAGATCTTACAACGCAATTTGGAGGTGACATAACACCTAGATCAACGCTAATTGACTTAATATTCTCTATGAATGTAGAGATATGATGTGACTGAAAGTAAATGACATCACACAATTATTTTGAAACGATTTTCACAAATACTAGGTAGTTGGTTGTTAGGATTCAGTTACCTAGGGAACAGATTTCTCATATACCCGACTCTGAGATACACATACATTATAGGAAGACTAATGACATCAACTAGTTACCGTCTTTGTCAAATAAAGCAGATGGGACACGATTCCACCGCGGGACCAAAGGGGTTAATTTTAATCCATATTATCTAACTATCTACAGGTATTAACTATTTTGAAATCGATAAACAAGGAGACATGTAGAGTTATGAATGTACATTGTAAACACTTCCCCATTTTATTGTAAATCATATATATATATCAAAGTATAAAATATTCTCGTGGAGAAATTTAGTGATCAAATTTTTACGAATTTGATTATTTTGATACAGATGATGATAAAGCTTTAATGTGACACAAGTGGAAATCGACTCCTGATGAGTAAGAAGGTGACATGTTATGAGTGACTCGTAAACAAGACATTTAACTCTAACGTAGATTAAGGGGTCAGAAGCAAGTGATAATAATTAAGTGATACGGAAAGCATCAGTTGGGTGGATATTAAATTAAAATTTAATAAGTAAATTGAGTGGCGTAATATAATGGACTGGATTGAGTACAGCCTAAATAAACTTGAGAGCAGACCAGATTGAGATCAGTGCCATGAGAAGTAGGAGTGTAGCATCAGAAAGGGTGAAAAATAATAAGGTATTGAAATTAACAAAAAATTACGTATCAAGTGTTGAGGCAAATTAGGTCTACTGTAGCTCCAATGGCTGAACAAACTTCTTCAGTATGAAGAATTCAGGACTTAACACGTGAACTGCCATAGCTTCAGCGATTTGAAGAAGTTTGATTTGTACTCCTTTGACAAGATTTCCAAACACGCTGTAGATAACTCTGAAGTCAGTTTACGAGTCTGTTCACATTGATGAAGGCTTATTTATGTGTATCTACTAATCCATCTGCTCTTGTGGACCTAGGTATGTTGGCTGTACTCAGTGTTTGCTATACAAACGAGTCATAGAATATTTACCCTAATGGTTTTACAGAGGTAAATAAAACATCTTCTCGAGGCCCTATTCTGGAACACTTGATTGATTTCGGGCACCAAGTGAATGTCTACAGAGTGGACGGAAATCTTGCCAAGAGTGCCAATTAAATCACCTCAAACCGCAGATGTTATGACAATTCACATATCAAATCCTCAACTCTGTATACAGAAGCTTGTTCAGTCACTGAACCTACAATATGCCTCATAAGCCTCGACATTTGATGCGGAATATCTATCAGTCTCAATTTTTTAATTTAATTTAATTCCTTTCTCACTACTACATTTGCACTCCACATAGAACTGATCTTAACTTGATCCTCTTTCAATTTTAGCTGAGCTCTACTCAATCTAGCCAGTTATATTACGTCACTGAATTCACCTATTTAGTTGAATATTGGTTTCGAACCAATTAGCACTTTCCGTATTACATAATTGTGGTCAAAAATCTATGATTCCAGTGACATATATTTGGAAACATTTTTTGTTTCCCAGAAAATTTACTATAAATATGCGATTGTACAACTTGAGAATAATAACACTGAAAAGAGTAACTTTCTGCGGAACGACTCTTTTTTGAAGTATATAGATCAGGAATCAAACATGGCACCTATTGAATGACAGTTATTAGAAAATAGTTAAATACCTTTAAATGCATACGCACACAGACACCACCTACCTGAGGAATTGTATGAATGATCGGTTTGATAGAATAACTCGAATCATTTGATAATTGCTCAATCAATGGATTAACCATCTGTTGGTCGTCTATAAAACCACTCCCACCACCGCCAGTAATTCCACTATTATCCATTGGAACGGGATATAATGAATCGAATTCACTAAGAGCTTTATTCCCGCGTATATTGTCATCCAATGTAGTCAATGACTCGCCATCATTGAATGCTTCGGCTACTTTATGCGATGTACGCATACTTTGAGAATTTCGTGCTAATTTACATTGTTTAGCATAACGTTCAACATTGACTTGTTCATGTTGCGGTTGTTGTTGATGCGTTAATCCACTGCTTAAATTATGTATAGTTATCCAACCGTCTGATTGTGTAACACACAGTAAATTTGGATAATTTGGTACACAGTGAACTGACATATTCGTTGGCAAATCATTAAAGCATAATCCACTAGCCAACTCTTGATCTTCTAGTCCTTCTAGACGACTAATAAATATCGGCTGAGGAGTAGCTATAAGAAGGACAAAAACTGATTTGAAATACCCACACAGATCGGAAAAACATATTTTACTATTTTGAATTCTGTATACTCCCGATCAATATCAAACATTTGACTTGGTGTGTCACTGAAGACATCTCCAACAAACTGTTTCAGACATTTATCAACAGCTGCCTTTGTTCCATACAGAAGATAAAATGGCTCATTCAAAAGGATAAACACAAAAGAACTCTGACAATGAACCAATCAAGAACTTATTAGCTAGCAAATATGCAGAAAAAAAGTGGAGATGGCTCGGAAATATACTGAAGAGACTGTTGAGTGACATTATACGCCAGTCTTTTGAGTGGAACTCGAGTGGGAAACGACGAGTCGGGAATCCATCCATCTGAGGATGAAATGGAGAAAACCGTATGAAGATGAAGAAATGTACGTTTATGGGCAATAATAGGGTCGGCTAAAAAGAACTGCAGGGAACGGGACGAAGTGAAGATGTACCGCTGAAGCCATGTGTTCCAGTCGGAGCAGAAGAGAAATAATCATATGAAACTTGAGTAATCTATTACTAGTTAATTAGTCCTAATAGAGTTTATGCTTTGATAGTAATAACAGCTTTATTTCACACATATTTATATACAGTACAGAATTTTCAGCTTCGTTTTATATACTACTTATACAGAATCTTCAAGAAAAGCACTAATCTACATTGTATCGTTTGACGGAATTTTGTTCTATCTGACCCCAGATATATTTGTCCCCTCAACAAAAAAGGACCAAGTGGTTTGTTGAAAGCCAATCAAAAATGCTTGTGAGTATAAACCGTTGTTAAAAAACAAGGCGTAACTCAGTAAATTGTGCACCGTCGAAAATTGGGCAGCCCAATAACTTAAGCAAACCCACTTAGTTGGTCAAAAAATTCTACTATTGCGATTTCCTTTATCGAATCTCAGAGTGGAAATGAATTATAGATACACCTTTCTGACGACTGCCAACACACAAAGCACAATACCTATGTCTACAGGACTTCCTGCAGGTTGCCTCCAACCATCTAGCATCATATTTTAAATCATTATTGATTGCCATATTGAATATTATGAAGATGAATAAACTGAATTGCACAAAAGTAGTGCGGCAGTTCAAATCGTGCCACACTTCATGAGAAGAAAATGTTATGAAATCACGATAGATGAAAATGTATGAGAGTGGGAATAATTACATGAAGAACAATAAGAAATCAATGAATTTACAAGATTGCATGGAGGATCTCATCATGAGCTGACATCAGTTTTATTTATTTTTATTTATTATTTTGATTTACAGCTTGATTCCACACCGTATTTTCAGTACAAGTGTGGAATTTTCAGCATGGATATCGGTAGCCCAAATTCAGGCCGACCATAGATATCGGGTGTGCGCCGGCAGGGGATCGAACCCCGGACCAGGCAGTGATAAAACAAAACAAGTGGTGTTCAAAAAAGAGGAGGGCTTATTTTCCCTTTTAGTTGTACAATCGCATCAAAAGAAGACGAAACGCGTGTCCTCCGTTTCACCACAAGCCTTCACCAACCAAGTAACATAAATTATAACAATTCAAGGATCAATTGCAGTGTTACTTCCTTAATGTTACGTTGTTCGTTCTTTAATTGGAAAAGTTAAAATATCATTCTCATTTTATCTTGACTGTTATTGATTTTTCGTACTGATTAACTTTTCTCTAAACTACAATTACATTATTAATAAATTACAACCTTCGTACATTATAAACACTTAGAGATATGCCACACAAAATCTCAGTTTGTGCGAGGACTGAAATACTGCCCGGAAGCTCAGACCGAAGCAGGTGGTCGTTTTCAGAGGCCATAACCCGGGCCTTTGAATGGGAATTTGATTCACAACTCGGTAGAGCAGCTCAACGAGCTACGTCCCCATGCTTGTCAGTGACAAAAACAGGTTCGTATACCCTTCGGTCCATTCGGATTCTAAAGACAATCTACACCATATGTTTGGAATCACTATTTTTCAGCTCCCCTGGGTGGACTTTCATCTCCACCAGTTAGGATGCAGGCGTTAGCAAATTGTTCAAGTCTGGTACATCAATTGTTAAGGGTACTAAGAAGCATAACAATAATAATCATTGCAACGTAAAACTTGGCACAGAAATGCATCAGTTTAAATTTCCCTAACTTGAGGAGGGGAACGTAAATGTTCTGATACCCCTATGGACAAGCGTTGATGTGAGGCAGAGCAAAATGAAGTCGAGACTAATTAAGATTTTCCTAGTCTAGAAGGTGCTTATGGGACGGATCTATGATTGTAGTAGCTTACAGTACTAGGAATAAAATCATTGATAAGAATAACAGAAAAAGACCATAATTAAAAAAGAGGAAGTTGGATAACTTATAAACACACACATACCTTCATGAGATGTCTCAGTATCCGGTGAAGAGTTCAGCGCTTGATCAACACTCCAAACAACTAACATTTCAGCATAGGTTGGATTCAGCTTAGTACCACATGTACCACTTAATGTAGGTAATGCCCCAGAAGCACCAATCACTGTCATTATCATATCTGTATCGTATAAATGTGATTTATTATTTGTTGACTTTTGACACTCTGGTATACCCCAACATAATGAATTCACTGTACCAGCATTGCCTAATGGACAGCCAGCTAGTTGGCTAGTTGTATGAGATGCTATCGGTGGCCAATGGCCAAGCAAAGCAAGCATATGCTTTGGATAACGAAGATCCCATAACTGTATATCAGCATTGGGATTATTTGGATCTGTTAGACACAAACGAGTTGCAACATCTGGACTCCAGGCCATAATTTGAGGTTCTAGCTATAAGGGGAATAATTATATAAAGGAAAAAGAGGAAAACTTTAAGACGTATTCGTGTGAAAGAGGTCAACAATGTACCGTAATTTTTTTCGAGAAAGGATATCAGTTAAAGATCACTGAAACCATCAAGGAGCACTGGAAAACTGTTACGTCCTGTTAAGGGACTCTTCACCATTGCGCAAACAATCCTACCAGGGATGAAAACCAAAATGTTCAGGTTAAGAGACTACGATTATCGACCATTCAGCCACCTGGGCCGGAATTCAGTGATGCGTGAATTCTAATTTCTACCAATTCATGATATGGCGCTACCCTCAACCAATGAATTCGATAAACATCTACTTCACCTTGACATGGTGGATTCTACTGGTCAGGACTTCTCAGTACAGCTCCAAAACCTGCACGCAACAGCCACCAATGAGCCGGAGGTTGCTATTCAGATTACAGGTTTTGTAGGAAATTGGATTAATTTCCTAATCTGAAGCTCTCAAGTCCGACCTGTGATGGCGTTGTGAGTGTGCACTGAAGAGTCCCAATCGGAGACAAAGCAGCTGTCTAGTGCTCCCAGGTGGTTTCCAATAATGTTAGTTCCTGACGAAATTCACATTGCAATTAATCCAAGTTCCTAAAATAGCTCATTATCTATAAGAAGAATATAAATCGGTTCTTTCAAAAGAAACAGAATTGTGTGTGTGTGTTTAAGACAAACGGGAAAAAAACAAATTACCTGACACATTGTTTTAGTTAATTGTAGAACTGGTCCACTTTTACGTAAATCCCATATAACACAACGTCCAGTACTTGTTGTGCATAATATATGCTGAACACGTGGATTCCATGCAACTTTATTCAAATTTTCTAAGGGCTTTTAAGGAGGAGGAGAAAAAGGGAACGATGTTATTAATAACGGACATTTATGTTTTCTTAACGTTGAATAAAATAATGGTGATGTATTGAAATTAGGTGGTTAGAGGTTATCGCTATCGAGCCTCGGATTCGAATTCCCTTGAAGAATGGATACACATGATGATGAGTACAAAGAAGTTAGAAACCTGTGTACTGGACTTCTTACTGATAGCCTTCAACCAATCAACATCAATTCAAAGTGCACTGCAGTGGTGAGTTACCTAGTTTGATAATAACATAGCAAAAGTAACTCATGGAATCCAGTCAGCACCAATACTGAGGACTACAGATATGAAACTAGCTACACCTTAGTGATCAGTCAGTGTGTATTGGCAGGTACGATTGAGAGTGGGTAGACCTCGATGTTCCTCTTAAAATCTCATATGTGGTGATGCATTCATAGCCCCTTACCAGGTAAGCTATATTCACTGCCTTCATGCGGTAGGGATGTCCTTCACAAAAATGAAAGGGTGAGTGCAAATGTATGGTGTTTACAACCTGACTGGTGGATATGCTGGTTTATCTAGAAGAGGTGGAAAACCTTAATTCCAAACCACTGGAACGCAGCTCCTGACCCTCACCACTGCCTCGTGGATCAGGCTTCAAGTCAAACGCTTGGAAATAGCTCCATAGGATAACCTCCTGCCTCGGTCTGCGGATCCGGGCAGTATCCTATTGCGCGGTTACTGTTACAGATGGCAATCATACTTTTAGTAATGTCGTCCTTTCTGACTTTATTTTTATGTATAAACGTTTGTGTTCTTTTTTAACCGGCTTTATTATCTTTGGTGTCCTCATTATAGTCAGACTTTCGCCTTTGTTTGAAATCTCACCCTATCAGTAGCGCTTTTCGTTATTAGTGAGTAGCCTTCAAAATGCTTATCTCCAGTGAGAGAACACGGGTATCCTGTTGCCGCATTTAGCGTTCACGCTTGCCACCTACAATGTTCGCATAATGATGTAAGTCGGACAACAGACAGATCTGGCCAAAACATTAGAAAAATCTCGCTATCGATATCTCCTGCAATTCATGATCTCAGTGAAGTGCTTCGAATATCTTCTCCATCTGCTAGTTGAAATAGTGTGTACCACCTGTGCTTATCCGAGTACCCAGTGACATTGGTATCTGGCTTAATTGGTGTCAAAGACATATTTAGCAACAGAGATGAAAGGGTATTAGCCAACTGGATCTGAATTAACAAACGTTTATATGCTGTGAGGCTAGAAGGTTACTCCAAAGTAAGAAGCTGTTGGTCAGACAGGTTATATCTATTCGTCATCTCTGACTATGCACAAACAGATTGCAGTCTAGATGCAACTAAAGATGAGTTTTACTATCAACTGAGCCAGTTACTGAAACAGGCGCGTCAGAAAGATATCGTAGTGCTAATTGGGGACCAAAATGCACAAGTTGGGCGTCTGGGCTTAAAATAGAGTTATCTAGGTAGTTAGTGGGGTCCATATGGTCGCAGGTCGCATAATGGAGACTGCCTTCTGAAGCTTTCCGCAGACCAGATTCTATTTCTAGCCAACAATAACTTTCAGTACAGCCATCACCGTAACGCCACCTGGTGTTATCCCTTTGCACAGAAGTGCAGCGGTTCTGTCTGCCATACTCCATGTAGCACAAAAGGGTATAGGAAAGAAAGACAAAAGAAATTCAAACGAACTATGATGAGTAGAATCGTACGGGAGAAAGAATAATACCATGGGAAAACATGAGCACCGAATGTGTCTAGTAGACTACAAAGAGTGAATGCATGAGAGCCACTGAGAGCAATTTTGAGCCACACCACTAACGGTCTCCACTCATTGATTCTTAGCATCTCGATGACCCGAAGAAGGAAAAAGAGATATTTACCCCAAGAGTTTCCCACTAAGTAGTGATTTATAAGGAACCCACCCACCCACCTCTCCCAACCGCTAAAACATCATCAAAATAAAGGCAAAACAAAAACACTGGAATTTTTGTTAATAACACTAACTTGTATTTTTGCTCCTGGTGACATTGGTTGTTCCATTTTTTCAATATCCCATATAAATATTTCATCGTCGTTAGATACAGAAGCGAAGAGATTTGTCTATGCAAATTAAAAAAGAAAAAAGTTTTAAAAGGAGAAATAGTGAACTGCGGAAAATAAAGCGACATGTTAAACATCTAGATTTAAATTATGTGGTGGTTTCAGAAGAGGAATAAATTTCATCAATATTTCGTCTAAACATACATCTTATCGATGATACTACACATGATCTTAGCCTAGAGAGAAGAGAAGCGGTGGCAGTTCATTGGTAAAGTTCTCACCAGCCATGCTGGAAGTTTGAGTTCGACTCCCAACCTGGCAGGCAGTAGGCCCAGAAAAAGGGAAGGTTGGACGTGAGGCTGGCAACCTCACCCCGTGAAAAAAACACCGCCGCTACTGAAACTTAAGAGCTCAAAGCCCGAAACCCTATGTTCCACTCGTAATTCAAGGAATGAAGAGAAACAATATCTCATTGATGTGGACTAACAAAGGAGAAACTCAAGTTAGACAGCACTACCTAGTGACTGTTTTTATAAACATCTAACAAATGTCAAGGTAATATTATGTTCAAAATAAAAGTAATGCATGATTAATACATATGTAGATCATGGTTTTTTGAAGGGACTCGAATTAATTTCAATGCAGATTTCTCCATTAACCAACACCAGTTGGAGAGATCATTGAAAATCACCGGGGAACACTGCACAACTGCTTTTTCCCAGTTTGGGACTCTTGATCGGTGTGTACCAACAACCAAACCACTGCGAATTGAATTCAGAACCTTCAGGTTACGAGAGCAAGCTCGCCGGTTATTCAGCTACTTGAGCCCGAATTTAGTGACCCATGAATTTTAACTTCTGTCGATTCTTGGTACACTGCTATCGTCCACCAACGCCTTAGATAGGCATCCACTTCGCCTTGACATGGTGGCCCCCAATGGCCATGACTTCTTCATACACATCTTCCGAACATCCATCCAGTTGCTTTTTTGTACGAACGAAACAGCTGTTAAGTACTCTCCGGTTTCCAATGATCACTAACTGATGTTGTTTCGTGACGAAATCTACTTTGTAATTAATACATGCATGTATGTGTAACGCTTTGACACTGTGATAGTAATTTTATTTTATACTAACCTGTTTATTGGATACCAAACACACACACACACACAGAGGGAAACAGTATTATTTACTGAATGACGAAATTTCGAACGTAATTTACTGTTCATATTTATATCAATTGTGATACAATAAAATGCAATTATTAATACTTTTCGTATGCAATCACTTAGCCTTTAAATAAGAAATAACACGAGTGAGTTTTAAATCCTTTTAATATATGACAATTATGAAAACTAGTGATTTTAATATCTCAGTTTGAAGAGATAACATTTGTGTTTGAACTTATGGCTCACTAGTTCACCGATATAGTTGACCACACACACAACCGAACAAGAAAGGAAAAAACTTCGAAGAGAGCCCAGTAAAAGGTGATTGTATTCTACTCACAAATGAAATAATTAATTGTAGATTTTATCATAAAGAAAACAAAATGATGTGTTTGCTGTCACAAGTTACAAGCTTTCTTTTGTCTTGATTTTGAAGATGATTTGCATTTATCATAAAGATGTATTCACAATCTTTAATAAGAACATATTTTCAATGAAGAGTGAGATCTGTGTTATCCTACAATACCATGAAGTTGTGGATTCTTGGTCTAGTCACCTAAGCATACGACCTCCAACCAACGGGATCACGAGTTCAAACTGCGTCCCGAAAGCCACTGAGGTTTGGGCAGACAGGTGCTTTCATTAGCTCATACACACACAAAGTAGGTGGGGCAGATTGCCAATTGAACAGAAGTATAAGTGATGAAGTAAAGTCAAAGAAATAGTGATTAAGTTAGTTTTCCTCAAGCATTCAAAATACGCCAAGACGGGACTTCAGGTGAACACAGAGAAGATATGGGTGTGAAGATATACAACCAACGAGGACAACAACAAGCGCCAATCACCATCAACGGGAGCAATCTATAGGAAGTCATCACATATCTAGGTAGCATCCTTTCAACTACAGGCGGAACGAATTAGGACGGTGAAACCAGGATGAGAAAAGTACAACTGGTGTTCATTACTAAGAAATCAGTGTGGAAATCTACTGAACAAATTCAAATTCTCAACACTAATCTCAAGTCAATTAATCAGTGCTTCTATGTGACTCAGAGACTTAGCACTCGAGTTACCAAAACGATTTTCAACAGACTACTGCAGAACTTCATCAACACCTGCCTTCTCTCGATGATGAATATCAATCGGGGAGCATTGACAGTGCAACGAACGAACCAAGAACCTAGGGCCAATAAATTTGCAGAAGGAAATGGAGATCGACTGCATACGCGCTGAGAAAACCATTGAATGATGGCGCAGACCAGGCAGGCCTTCTAGTGGAACCCGAATAGAAAACAACGAGTTGAGCATGGATCCGATGGTGACATGGAGGAGATTATCTGCGGGGGGAAATGAAGGTTTATGCGCAATCGTGCAGAACAGAGTGAAATGGCCCCATATTCTCACCCAAGGGAATAATGACAATATAGTAATTGGTCAACTTCCTTATAAAAAAACAATTCGAAGCAAGCCGATAAACTTCGATTACACCTAAGTTTATTTATTTTTTCGATTACATATGGCACAAATAATTATCTATTAATATTAAAGTAAATAAATAAGTAATTACTTGAAATCGATTGAAATCCAAACTTCTCACAACTCCATTATGAACATTTTCACGTGAAGTATATATAAAGCTTGATAAGTCATTCTCAGCAATAGTAATAGAAGGCTTAGTTGTATTCCACTTGTGCTGGTCACCATTAACATGGTGATGAACAGTATTCTCATTAAAATCAATAATATTTTCTTGATTATTATCATCAATCAGTGATGATTTTTGATGTTGATGATAAGTAGAAATAATTTTTTGACTATTATATAAATATAAACTTCCTGTAATTGTCCCGTAAATAAGAAGACCAGTCTCCAAATCACCTATTGGTGCTGTCCATAATAAGCATGTACCTCTGAGGAGTATAGATGAGAGAGGAAAAACATAACAATAAAAGGGCATTTATAACAGCTAGAAATAATTTAATAAAAATTTAAACTAATTGTACACGTGTACACACGCATATTTATTCTTAAAATGGATGAGTTGACTTATTTTTCCTACTGATCGATTATACTTGACTGAAACGCTAGATCTCTGGGTCGAAAAGTCACCTCCTAGTACGGATGCTTCGGCGATGTCTGAGGACCAGTAGTAGAATCCAAAAGATACTCGTCTCTTCCTACTTGGAACTTGTCGGCTGGATGTATTTGCATTCCCAGTGAGCAAGGGTGTTTCTAACCAGACTCGAACCCTGCACCCATCGTTTCAAGTTTGACAGAGCCACCCTCTTGTGCAACGAATATCAGTTATCATTAGTTTTTAAGTCAATTTTTGTGTTTCCTGTTGATTGATTGTGTTAGATCGAAATGCTCAGTTTCTGTATTGATATCGAACCGTCGATTCCAAAAGAGGACAAAACACGTATCCACTGGATTGGGCATTGAAGTCACCTGCTAAAACAACTAGCAGGCGACTTCAGTGCCCAAGTAGGGAAGTTATGCCAGACTGAGAAGTATACAGGTGGTATGTATGGAGTTTCCCGCCGACGAACCGACAATGGTGATCGTCTTCTACAGTTCTGTTCAGATAATTATCTGTTCCTAGTCAGCACAAACCTTAGGCACAAAGAGAGACACTGCATAACCTGGCGACCTCCATCACCAAATCAACGCTGGACTCAGATAGACCACATAGCGGTAGAGTATCGTTGGCGAGGGTCAGTAGAAGACTGCCGCTCCTTTTGAAACACGTGCGTAGACTCTGATCGCGCCCTGGTTCGCGCACGTTTATGCTTACGACTAAATGGACATAGGAAATTGCTGGCAGCGAAACAGTTACGTCCCCAACTAGATCAAGACTGTGAGCCCCTATTTAAGGGGGAAATAGCGAAACGTGTATCTGAGGTCGACAGCAGGACTTCCCCTGAGGTAGCCTGGTACAACATACAGTTAGCTGTAGACACAGCTGTAAAAGCTGTTAACAACCTGAAACCTAAAGTTAGTAAGAGCCATTGGTTTTCTACCGCTTCATCCGAACTGATTGACGCAATAAGACTGATTTCGGCGAGCTCCGATTATGACGAGGAGCGAAAGCTGCTCAAATGCAAACTAACAAGAAGTCTGCGACGACCGTGAACAGTAGTGGGTGACAAAAGCAAAGAAGATGGAAAAGCCACACAACTATTTAGACTTATCAGGGAAACAGGTGGTAAAAGGCAAACGATAAGTGAAACAATCTCTGAGAAAAATGGCACCATAATTAGCTCCCAGGACAGACGACTGGAACGCTGGAAAGAACACTTTGAGGAGCAGTTAAATCGGCCTACAGCCACGCTCAACTTACCTCGCATCCAACACCTTCCTGAATGGGATATAGACACAGGTCCACCGTCCCTAACTGAGTTTACTAAGACTGTCACTAGTCTGAAACGAGGCAAAGCAGCAGGACCTGATGGAATGACTCCAGAGGTATTTAAGTACGGCGGAGACGGCTTACTGTCTGTGTTAACTGAGGTACTAAGAAGCGTCTGGGAGTCAGAGGAAGTCCCATCGGGCTGGTGAAAGTCATTGATTATCCCGATATACAAGAAGGGTGACAAGTCTTCCTGTGATAATCACAGGGGGATTGGCTTCACCAATATCGCTTCTAAAGTTCTGGGCTTACTAATCATGCGTAGACTAAGCGGTGCTCTCGATGAATAAACATGAGAGAACCAAGAAGGCTTTAGACCAGGAAGAGAGTGCATTTATCATATTTTCAACTTTCGATAGATTCTGGAACATAGGCATACTTACTGGTGTCCAACAATCGTTATATTTCTTGACCTAAAGGCGGTATTCGATTCTGTCGACCTAGAGGTTCTCTTGCGATGCTTGGCTGTAAAGGGAATGCCGAGAAAATACATTGCACTGATTAAGGCACTCTACTTGTACTCATGCAGCCAGGTGACGGCTTATGGCGAGTTGTCATCTGAAGTGGTGACGACTAGTGGCGTCCGTCAAGGATGCCCATTATCCCCATTTCTATTCAACTTCATCATAGACGTACTAATGGACTTAACCCTAACTCATTTCAGCGACTCAGGGATTGACTTGCTACCAGGGAATAATCTCGTTGACTTAGAATATGCAGACGATATAGTCCTTCTAGGCGAGGACGCTGACAAAATGCAGAATCTTCTGAACACCTTGAGCTGCAATCTGCGAATGTTTGGTATGTGATTCGCTCCCACCAAGTGTAAGATGATGCTACAGGAGTGGACTACACTGACTCCTAGTTTAGAAATAGGGAGTGAAGTGATAGAGCACATTGACCACTTCACTTATTTGGGAAGTTGCATCAGCCGCAACGGGTTGATCGCTGACGAAATCTCAGCACGGATACAGAGGGCTAGTTTCGCATATGCCAGTTTACGCCGTCTCTGGCGTAGACGTGATATCCGGCTATCAATCAAAGGGCGGGTGTACTGCTCAGCAGTCCGCTCCGTCTGCCTTTATAGCTGAGACCTGGCCATTGAGAGCGGAAGACATGAAAAGACTAGCTGTCTTTGATCATAGGTGCCTGCGTTTTATCTCCCGTGTGAAGTGGTATAATAGGGTAAGCAATATTGAGGTTAGGCGTCAAGTACGAGGTAAGGAGGGGAAATCAATCAATGAGGCTGTGAAGCTACATCGACTGAGATGGTTAGGACATGTGTTACGCATGCCTAGTCACCGCCTTCCTCGACGGCCGATGTTAGCTGACATAGGGTCAGGCTGGAAAAGAGCTAGCGGCAGTCAAACCAAAACATGGCTTCATCAGTCAATGAAATAAATCCACAACAGTTAGTTTAAGCCACGTAGGAAGATGTAGACTTTCTGAATGGCTGGGGTCCTCGGGACGGTAAAAACCAATGGCTGGAGACAATTGGTGATATGGCTCAAAATCGTTCTCAATGACAGCGCAGATGCATCTACCCCTTGTGATTTATAATGCCCAATGAAACTATGTTGTTCTTCGATATGACTATTCCTTTTGTCTTATGTCCCTGTCTACTGTGTCTATTTTGCATTTCTTCTCTTGCTTTGTGTGCTACATGGAGTGTGGCGACTTGAACTACTGCACGTCGGTGCAAAGTTCTATGTTGAAAACAGACAGACTGGATTCCACTGCTAGTCACCATCAAGCAAAATAACATGTATGGATATAATTGAGAATCTTTTAGGGTATTTACTGAGGACGGGAAAAGGATTAAATTGGATTTATGCTATCATGTGGACATGATAACTTTATTGTGCAACTCTCCACCTCGTACTACCAATCAGATAAATTTATTTCATCATTGATGACCTAACTTTCAACGCAGAACTTTGCACAGAAATGCAGCAGTTCAAGTTGCCACACTCCATGAAGTACACAAACGCAGAGAAAAAAATTTAAAAGAAATCAAATATATGAGAAAAGAATAGTAACATGGAAGAACATGAAGGTTTGGTGGATTTGTGACATTACGAAGAATGAATACATCTGCACTGCTAAAAACGGTTCTGAACCAGACCAGTCATTGGTTTTTAGCGTCCAGAGGATTCCAACCAGGTAGCCTACAACTACCTACGTGGCTAGCTTAAACCAGCTGTCAAAGACTTAATGGCCTGATGCCACGTTTTGACTAGACAAACTCTAACCCTTTTTCAACCTAATTCTATGTCAGCTAGCATTCCTCCACGAGGAAGGCGGTTGTTAGGCATGCGTAATGTGACTTAGCCATCTCAATCGATGTAGCTTCACAGCCTCATCCTAAGATTCTACACCTGACCTCAGTAATACTCATCATATTATACCACTTAATATGTCTGTTTCATGTTGCATACTGCTGGTTGATAGATATGAGTAGTTGGAAACTATTCATGTCAACCAGTGGTGCTTGCTAGGCAGCCATATTGAAGTGATCTAAACAACGTAGGGCCCTTTACTCGTTTGAGACTGAGCTCATACCAGCGATGTACACTGTCTGACAGCCCCAGAGAACCAAATCAGTTCATACCACCCGACTTCTGGCTAGCTACTTTGGCGAGCTGAATTAATTTCGTCATTTGAAAACTATACAGTTCAAGTTTCTTACGAAAACCTAGATTATTCAGATCACAATGTGCCATCTAATTAATATCATAATTGCCAATCAAGAAAGCGAATTTGATTCAATGGATTACCGGTTAGTCAAAGTAGCTAGCTGAAATTCAGCTCTATTCGCTGAGTCAACCTGTGCATACCGATGATGAGTTCGACCCCAAATGAGGAAAACCGCCGTCCAGTAGTGCTTAGATCACATCGATCAGGCTGACAAGCACTACAGGCTGATGTGAGTATTGTCCGACTACCCAGTAGTATATAGCATCACACAATGATACATGCCTTCTTGATTGTCATTTATGGTACCAAGAAGATCACATACATGGTGATCTGAATAATTTTGGTTTCTAAATGAAACTGTGGTTAAATTTTACCTTGAACTGCGTAATTCTCAAGTCGCTGATTAATTTTTAAATTGCGGATTTCATTTAATATAACTGTTGTGGTAGTTAGTAAGATAGTCTCTTAATTACTCAGAATGGATTTCTTATGTATTCGGCTATGAGCCACGCGTACTTAATGTGTGAAAGCCAAATTACGTAGATTAAAGTAGATAGATTGAGGCATTGAATTTGGGATCCAGTGACTAAAATTTGAGTATATGAGCGAGTGGACCTCTCATTTTATGTTAAGTGAAACTAATTAAATAATTGGTGTCATAGGAAAATGAAAAATGAAATACTACTCAAAAACCATGCAGTTGGCAATGAACCAAACCTACTGTATGTAAGAGCTAGTCATACTATTTAGTAGATGGAGCAGGGAATTTGAACCCATGACCACCTATTGGTTGGAAATCGAGCGCCTAGACAAATGGCTCGCAGCTCTGCAGAACCAAGCACGTCAACTTATACAAAGGCAACATTACAGTGTAGTGTAATCATAGTTTACGCTGATATTTCATAGAAAATTGAATATCTCTCTTAATTCGACAATTTCATTTGTCACAGAAAAGCGTATCCAGGATATTCTCTTCCTTCAAAGATACACTATGGTGTAAAGGAGCCACCTTTAAAGTTAAAACTAGACTTTATAAAACATGTGAATGAGACCAGCACATATGACAGTAGGAACACATATACATACACACACAGACACATTCGCTAACGGGAATACACTATTGAACAACATAAAACCAACCAAAGAGAATGTATCTGTTTGACATTTATTCTGAATAAATCGGAATATGCATACACATACGCACACACACACACACACCTGTTTACCAACAGTCTATATTGTTCCACTATATTCTGTGTATGTAGATTTTACTTTTCGTTTTTTTGTCTAACAATAAGGTGGTGTGTTGGTATTAGCGTTAGGTTTATCTATATTGATAAAGTGGAGGTATTATTGATTGCTATACAGTATAACAAAAAGAAATATTTACGTGATGACTGAGTTAGGGAAAATAATTGTTTACCAACTACTAATAATCTCCTTTGTCTTATTCACGAAACAGTCTTATGGACTTAGAGTATGTGGATGAATAAGAAAGTATTTCTAAGCAAAGAAAAGGAATGACATAATTATTTATTAGGTGGTAGTTTGTAGTAGAAACCAGGATGCACCTTTTGTCCTATTTGGGACTAGCCAATTGGATGTACCTGCATCTCCAGTGAGTGATGGTGTGCCTACAGACTCTCTAATACAGCCAGTATACACCGTTTCAAACACCAAAGAGTTAACCACCTACTTCAAACTAGATAAACGAGTCGTATCGTCAGCCGCTACACAATAAATGCAGCTCATTGCCAAATGCATGGTAAAATGGTAGATGACTGTTTGGACAACGTAAGTTTTAATTAAGTCGACTTGAAACAATACATAGATAAGGAATGAAGCGAAATGAAGCAAGGATGGATGAGGGTTAATTTAATGCATACTTATACACCATTTTTTTAAAAGATATCAACATACTTCTCTTTAATTTGTAAACTAATATTAGATTGCATAGACATCGAATTGTTCTCTTTAACATCAAATTCAAATATTTCTAAAGCTGAAGGAATTGGAACACTAAAATTAAAAAAAACAAAAATATTATTTAGAGATAAACAGAATTATAAAAACAAGTGAAGGATTTGTAAAAAAAAATCCACATAAATACAAAATATCACAAATAAAAGAAAAGTATAGCTACAGATCAGTGGTGTAGTTACTCGTCTTTTAAGTAATGCGTTGCTAGTTTGAACTCCAACCACTCCTAGTTTACTAATTGGTCACAAGCCTACTAAAAGAGAGAACATTGGGCTTGGGACTACTAATCCTAACCTAATCGCTACTGATATTTTAAAGCATAAGAAAAATAACATTAAGCTCCCGTGGAATCAGCGGAGATGGAAGAGGACGGATGGCGAAAACCCTCACGATCCCACTCAACTGAAGGTAAGTAAAAGTAAGTCTGGGGACATGAAAGATGGGAACCGTGATTAAAACTGGCTAGATTGCTCATATTTCAGAGGAAATAAGGAAATATAGTATAGAAGTGCCAGGAATCTGTGAGAGCTAATGGAGAAAGAATAATCTACTCCGGTCACCTAAACGACAACCACAAACACACTGCGGGAATGGATATCTTGATGTCTCCAAGAGCATCGAAGTCCCTCATGGACTGAAAACCAATCTCATCAAGGACCATGACAATAAGATTCAATTCATAAGGAAGAAAAGTTATGATTATACAGTGCAACGCTCCTACTGACATGCAATCATGCTGCTGTCCCTCCCAAGAAAAATATTAACCCACCCGCATTATCGTGGAAAGACTAAAAGATACTCTGGATGAAAAATGTGGCCTGGGACATTCTGGACTCAGGAAAAAGATAATGCGTAGATCAAAGTGCGACGCTACGCATCATCAATGGACAGAGAAAGGAATGGAAGTCAAATCTTTACCTCAACTTCATTGAATTTTGAAAGGCGTTGTATAGCAGAGTCGACAGTGAAGTAACTCGCCAGTTAATTCAACATTATGGCATGCCACAAATCTTTAAAAACCACACCCAACAGCTGTGTAACAATGACACATACCAAGTGATTCACAACGAAAAGCCCAGTGAATCTTCGGATATGAAGGCAGGAGTAAGACAAGGCTGTTTAGCATTACCAATGATCTTTTTGACTGCGGTGGACTGGATTTTGCGGATTATTTGTTTCATGTCCCACACACGAAAATTTGTGGGTGAAAACCAACAAGTTGGCAGAAGAGACAGATAAAAGCTTCCAGGTGCACATAGAGAAGACAGAGGTGATAGAGATACCTAAGCGGCTCCTAGTATGGATGTTTTGCTGATGTCGTGGGACTATGACGATGTTACTTAGTGGATGGTGGAATCCAAGACACACCCATCGTTGGCTTCGAGTTTCAGTAGGAACACTATCACACTCATTGGACATTGCAGGTTCACCCACCCGACGAGTCCCAAATACGACGAAATGTGCGTGCTGGATTCCACTGCTAGTCATCATCCACCAAACAAATGGGATACAGTTAAAATAAAAGTTTAATCAGATGACTTGAATGTTAAAAACAACCTACTGATCAAGAAACTCACCTTGAATCTGTTAATGAATCATTCGACTGGCGATTATCCTCTGCAGTGATTGTCGCTAAATAAGTACGACTAGATGAAAGGGGTGACCATGCAGAATGAGCAAATCGTTCCAACTCTTTTACTTTCATTTTGTTTAACTGAAAATGTCTACGGAAAAGGAGAGAAAACAATGTTACCATAGAAAAAAAAATTATGGTGACAAATAGAAAATAAATAAATTAAGAAACATTAAAGCCGTTGTTTGCTTTTAAGACTGAAGTAATATTGGGTGTATGTAACCTGTCACCGATTTCAACTCTCAATATATTTCTACTTGGAATTGAATGCAGTCAAATAAACGTACGTGCTACCAAGCCATGCCTACTGCTTAAATGCCATAAAAACTACATAGCTGCCTAAACATTAATAGACAGAAGAGGGACAAATAGTATAACCTGCTTACTAGCTGATTGCCTACTGGAATGGTTCATTGACTGGCTGACTGAACTGTGCACAGGAGTGTACCAATTCAACTTGCCAAGCTACACATAGCACAAAGAAGTAAAGGAAAAGAGATTCAAAGAACTATAATGAGCAGAAATGTACGCGAGGAAGAACAATGACACGGAAAAACGAAGATTTAATGGGTATAGAGGATTACAAAGATTGGATGCATCTGCACCACCACCAGCCATATCATCCTTTGGTTCTTAGAGTCCTGAGGACTTCAAAAAGTAAATCTACACTTCACTACGTGGCTAGCTGAAACCAACGGTAAAAGACTTCATGGATTAATGACAGGTTTTGGTCAAACCATTCCTACACCTTTACGTTTAGTTCTACGTCAGCTAACATTGTTCGTCGAGAAAGGTGATGGATAGGCATGCGTAGTACTTGTCCTAGCTATCTCAATAGATGTGGCATGTAGACTACCTGCATGGGGCGAGGTCCTTATGATGCTACCAACCGATAGCTGCTACCTTGACGTGGTGTTCGGGCTTGCATATCGCAATGACCCAACAAGCTACACTGGGTGGAACTTTTGTTCCTGCAGGTCCTACCATGCCAGGAAGGTTGTTAGGATAGCGATTAGACTAAAAGCATAGTGTAAGAAATTTTTTTACACTATGCTGGGGGGGTTTTGGACGAAGTCGTACTGCTGGGGAAAGGGATATAAAAGCAGTAAGGTGTTTCCCTCAGATGACCAGCATGCCAGCTATGCTGTCTCTGCACTCCGGAGAGAAGGGGTTAGTTAGAAAAGGTCGACCCCGAAAATTGTACATTCCGACTTACCCTACGGTGTTCCGTAACCGGCGGTAAGTTGCTAATACGAAAACAATCCATGAAACCAGTTCATACACGCCGTGTGTGACCAGCTTCAAGCAGTTGTCCCACTGCGGTCACGCAACACTAACCCTCTTTCTGTTTCAGGTACACGAAGAATCAATCAACTTCCACGGTGTGGGCAGCCGGGAGGTAACAACCACCCACACACTTCCGAAAGCCCACGAAGCCTTCCTAAACATCATTCTCCTTTACCCACATCACCTTCCTCATCTTGCTTCCCTACTACAATCAGTAAACACCAGTGGCTAGAGACAATTGGTGATATGGCTCAAAATTGTTCTCAATGACAGCGCAGATGCATCCACTCCTTGTGACTTATAATTTCCAATAAAACTACATTGTTCTTCGATATTACTGTTTTTTGCCACATATCTGTGTTTACTGTCTCTATTTTTCATTTCCTTTTACTTCCTCTGGCTTTGTGTGCTGAGTGAAGTGTGACGACTCGAACTGCTGCACATCGATGCTAAGTTCTATGTTGAAACTAGTCAGTCAGTCCTTATGATGCTAAGAACTAATGACTAGGGACTGTCGGTGACATGACGCAGATGCATTTAGTCATTTTGACCTTCAGAAAAAATTGAGTCCTTATCATTGTTCATGTATTTACTATTGCTTGCAGTTTCTTTGCATCACTCGTTTCTACCAACTTTGTGTGCTTTTATCAGATACGGTAACTTGAAATGCTGAGCATTTTTGTAGAGTTCTATGCTGGAAATCCAATAGCATTTTGAACATATGAAACACAGTCCTCTGAGTTATGGCTTATTGATTAGCATCGGTCGGTAAAATATGATGAATGAAGTCTTCTCATTCAGCTTTGATGTGCATTTTAGCAGGATTTAAAAATCTATAGGTCGACGATGCTATCGAAATACGCAGCTACAAACTATGGCATCGCGAGTTAAACTACTTCATTTGATCTTAAAAACAGGACAGAGTATACAAACAAGGAGGGAAGACTAAGTGACTACCACATAATATCAAAAAAGTCTGTACGCATATTCTTTGTAGAACCAACCTGAGAAAATTTTGAAATTCTCTGAAGTTTATAACAAGCCCAAAGGAAGCTTACAGAAATCCCAGCATTTAGAAACAGCAGAACATTAATTTCAATATATATATATATATATATACTAGCTCTGCTAGGTTGCAGAAAACATCTGTGTGCTTATCTGGCTTCAATGTACTAGAAGTATTGGATTCTCAAATTTGTCTGCTTTCCTTTCATTGTCTTAATTTGCAGTCACGATTGCACACACAAGTTCATTACGACAAAGTATAAGGTGGAGCCAATCGTACTGATTCAGTGACATATTGTCTCGGTAAAAATTATCAGAAGGCTTATCAAAAGATATACCGTATTATGAGGGCTTCCTTACTATTATTTTATAAAAGTATTTATTTTATAAATGGACTAAAAGAAAGGCATCACGTGAATAAATGGCTTTATTCCGCAAGTAAGCACACCAGTTGAAACAAATTTACTGGGAGGATCAGAGTACGAAGCCTAACAATTCGTTATAAACTTTGTATACATAGAACTTTTCATACATGATATTTCGGGTACTAGTCGAATATGCTTTCAAACATTTAACTGGTATAAAAGATGGAAAACTGTAGTCACTAATATTGGTTTGCTGGCAAATAACAAACCCAAAAAGCTATTTGTTAAGACAAAAGGCAATTTAAGTGGCGAATTGCGACTTTGGAGTTTGAAAAAGTATTTTTCACAACAATATAACTTCAGATTTGATCAAACTGCACACAAGCGGATACTATTAATTAAAAGTCAATACCCATGATTTTATATTTATGGCAAAAATAGTGAGTCATGGAACACAAGTAGCGAATCCCAGATAATTTCCGGGACTGAAAACATCTAATTATAGGCAAATACTGGCCGTTAGTCAACTAATTATGGATGAAGAGTGCGTAAATACAATAGACTCGTACATCACCTCTTGCTACTACGTCATACTTCACTGAAATTATTTCCAAGGAGCTCTTATTTCAACGATTATTTCGTAGTCAAGTTGTCCACTGACTTATTTGATTTGATGTTACTTTGCAAATCTTGTACTACATCGCCTATAATGGAAATATTTAGAAGACTTATTGTCACTCAGTGGATGTACTTCAATAAGCCGGTCCCCATCAGCGTCACTACATTTGGTATAGTTATCATATACTTTTGTGTGCGTCATAGGTATCAGTGATAACGTTATCATGAGTTATTTTGCAAGATGCCACCAGTGAATAAACACGGCACCAATAGAAATTACGTACATCGTCCTCACCCAATAAAGACTTCTGCGCGAGAACAGTGAAATATACAATTACTGCTCAAAAGTTCACAGTAAATTATGTCATAACACTTGTGGGGCCAAGGCCCCCTACAAAAGTGTTCTTAGGATACAGTAATAAATATTCGGTGTTAATACGCAGAAAAGCCAAGTTTGGGGGGCAATAAAACAACATTCACCCTGATCTACCTGAAAAATCACGTTTCCTGTCCAACTGGTAATGCCGCCAAATAATGCGTTGGCAGTAACCTTGATGCGTATTCAATTTCAGTGCCCAGGATTCACCGAATGCATATTAATAAACTTAGTAGTCATTTTTAATCCATATGTTATACATTCTTCTGAAATTCGAGTTTCCCCCTAAAACCTTTCACTGAGTCTACACCTCAAGATGTCGTCCCAATCCTCCATCATATTGTGATACACATCTCCGTCTGACACGTGGCTCGAGTTTGACTCGCATTTGAGGAACTGGCTTTGCCCATTTTCCTAGCTATCATTGTATTTGGACTCCTAGGGATATCTACCACTGCAGTTATATTGGGAGTTATAAAACTGAAGAACAGCATGATTCATGAGCAAGGCATTCTTGATTGACCGAAGGTTTTCACACGGGAAAATTGGGGCACAAACAGCTGATGCTAATACCATGGTGAAATTCTTAGACCTTTTCTCTTCCTACAGTATGTAATCAAGATACCACTTATAATTATTTTTGCGGATGAAATTAAGCTGTGGAGGGCTTTAGATAATCACTACTTTTACTATTATTCTCTTCGATCCCAAGTTTTCAGCAGCACATCTCCAAGTCTTTGTTGTCCTCTATAGCTACTCTAAGAATATCCATAAGTTCTCATATCATACACGATGGTACTCAATCAGGTTAGTGAAAGAGGCTACTTCATTCAAATCTCTCCCTTCGATAGAGATAGATGGTTGTTGTTGTTGCTCGCTAGATAATCGTAGTAATCGACCACTTTATACTCAAGATTATATCTGTGAAGCCCAAAAAGTTGATTTTTTATTTTCTTCTATTCGGATAACGAAGTGTTACGTCTAATATTTCCACTTTTAGACAGTGAATTTATATAGCATTCTACATTTCGTGTTAATTAGACCGTTTGTAGTTCACTGAACTGTTGAAATCTTCTTGTTTGAATTGACGTTTCGTCAGCTGCGAGCTAATTTTGGGTCCAGCTATCTTGTTTCCTTGGGTGAGGATAAATGCTATCGTGATATATTATCGCGCATTGCATGGGTATCGCGTTCACGCCTATAGAGGCTTTATAATCGTTAATTTTTGCAAAAATAGATTATATTTGACTCGTTTTAGGCTTCTGTAGCCGAAAAAAGCAATATTTTTCTGTATTGTGTTCGTTTTAATGGGTAAAGTTGTCTTGAAATCCCAGACGGTTTATTACTAAAAAAAGTCATCCTTTATAAGAAATTTCGCATGGAAAGACTATTATTTACGTTTTAGAGCCTTAAAGCTTTGTTATTTAAGAGTTGTTATAGACCTTAAGGTTAGAAATTGACTGCAGACAATGGTTGTTTTCATAGCAGTTATTCTATGAGAATCGGGCATTTGAAAGAGAAATAGCCCACAGACATAGGTTAGAAGTACGTTTTGAGGATTTTAAACACTTTTTTATCCATCCGTGTCCACCTCTGCTTGCACTGATTATGCAAATGTATCTGGTGAGAAATCGTAAAACACTCGTCAATGTTTGTCGGATGTCTTTGTCCGAATGCGACTACATCTGCTTGCACTGAATTCAACTAACTGACAGACCTCATTACGATTCGACATTCCTAAAAGTGATACAGATTAAATTCACTTACATAAATTAAGCATTTACATGATTAACATGAATGACTTAAGTATTCAACAAATTCAGTCATCATAGTTTGCACTTCTTTTGAAATGTGGAGCACATTAATGGTGCAGAAAATATCATGCGCCGGTGGCACAGTGGTTAGGACTCTCGCCCACCATGCACATGGTCCGGGGTTCGATCCCCTGCCGATGCACACCTGATATCTATGGTCGGCCTGCAAAATTTGGGCTACCGATATCCATGCTGAAAATGTCATACTTGTACTGAAAATACGGTGTGGCATCAAGCTGCTATCGAAAATCGAAAATATAAAAAATATGACTATTACGCATACATAATATTAACTGCCAGTAATTGTGCCATAGAATCATACTGCAAGAATACATTTGACAATACCTAGTTAATGGTCTGAGGGACAAAAATATTAGAGCGAAACATATAAGCTAGATCAAAGTTCCACAAAGTTGTCTCACTACTGTACAATGTCTCATTCACCGATTTTCCCTCTGCATGTGAACGTAGCCACATACTGGTATGTGAAAAAGGTTGTCACTGTTGGCAATATATGAGGTCCTCGCCTTTTGAGAGTCTTCTAATGCGTCTGCAGCTTCTTACATATGTGCTGCTTCCGGTCGCACTAATTTACTGCGATGAAATTACAGAAAAAGGGCTCGTTAGTGGAACACATTATTGCCACAGCTTGTCACGGTTAGTTCGCAAGAAACACAGGATACCAGACTATGTGAGTGAGAAATATCGAAGTAAAAAAATACTGTGCGTATAACCACAACTCAAGAAATGCGTTGGGACCCACGGGCTTGTAGTCATTGATAACCACCATAATGGTTAACCAGTTTCAAGGGAGTTTCTAACCAAAAGAGCATTGTATCTGTATTAAAAACAGTGAAACAACATTAGAATAGTCAAATGTTACATTTATAGTCATCCCAGTTGCTTGCAAACCACGCATAACGCAACCACACAAAGCCGCACACGATAGCACCAACGTAGGACGAATTAAAAATCCAATTGACCGCCATCGTTCCGGCCAATGAAAGACGAGAAAACCTGAAGCACGGTAAATTTAAAACGCGATAACGTTTATCCTCACACTGTTTCTTTGTGTTCGGACTCTGGATAACGTCATATGTGGAGTGCTGTGTAATTTTCGTCCATTATGTTTCCTTTGATAGAAGAATAATTTTGCGGCTCTTCAACATTTTCTTATCAATATAATTCTATTTGGTACCACTTGTTTTTGCTTTGGTTTTGGTCAAGTTTATTTTTGGGACATCTTAGTTTTATTTCGGTTTGGTTTAAGACTCCAAGTCTGCATCTTCAAAGGTTTTTCGTGCAGTGGCTTTAACATAGTTCCTTCACATATTTGTTGCTGCGTCTTCTTACTCTCCGCAACTGCTTGTGTTCCAGTACTAATTCTTTGGCGCTTTATATGATCATTTGCACACTATGTCTCACCCAAGAGTGCCAACCACTGTTCAGCTCGTTACAGAGCGTTTCGTGTGGCCCAGAATGAATTCTGATATCAGCAGATGGGCACGAGAATGTTTACGATGCCGACCCTCGAAATACAGAGAAATACAGAAAATTGATCTGCCTGAAAGACTCTTCCAACATTCACTTATCGATACGGTTGGTCCATTGTCGCCATCGAGAGTTTACATGCACACTTCTATGGCTACAGATAGATTTACTCGGTGGGTTATGATCTGACCACTTAACGGTACACCTGCCGAAATTATCGCTTTAGTTGTTCCTAAATCTCTGATTTTCAAATTATGGCGTGCCATCTGCGGTTACATCTGATAGAGGCTCTCAGCTTCAACAGATACTATTTGGATAATCGAACCGACTTCTAGGGGTGTAAAAGGTCTTCGCGACTGGATACAATACAGGAGCGAATGATCTTGTGGGAACATTTCACATGCAGCTGAAAAGCTCTCTGGTTGAGGGGTTTCTCTAGTTTTTCTTTTCCAAAAGAAAAGCTCCCTGATGGAACAGAATGATAAATCTAAGTGGAGTGAGCATCTACCTTTGGTCGTGCTCAGCATTCAGTCAACCATTAAACAGGATCTCGAATGTACACCAGCCAAGCTTGCATACGGCACAACTTTGAATCTGCCTGAACAGTTATTCTCTTCAGATGATTTGGCAGAGGTTAATGCCTCACAATTCACTAGCCAGTTGGTCCACCAAAACCCCCTAGAAAGTCTTTCTGGAGGGAACACGTTATTAAGCACTTAAAAACGTGCATGTTCGTCTTCACACGAGTCAATGGTGTCAGAAAATAGTCATGGCCTATATACGAAGGATCCTTTCAAGTACCTCACTGTGCGGAAAATTATTTTACAGTAAACAGATATGGTAAAAAGGAAATGATTTCAGTTGGTTAAGTTAAACCAGTATATACTGGTATTGACGGCACCTCGACAGCTGTAGAGGTGGACAACTTGTAGTGACCCATTTTATTACTCATCATCGTAGTATACATTCACTATGTAATTGGACTTTGATTTGTTTATCACTCTAAAGATTGCATGTTAACAATTGATACTTTTGTACTCGCTCAATTTTTGAACTTTGATTACTGCGACAATACACGATCGTATTCCTTCGCAAGTGCCTTTTGATTTACGTTGTGAATGTCGAGTAATCACAACGTTAGGACACAACTATAAACGCGAAGAAGTACTAAGATATACGTGTACGCTAGTTTAGTCAAAATAGAGCAACACAACAAACTAAAAAGTCAGCACACCTCTAACTTTACAAATTCCGAAGTTATCATGGAATAAATAATGCTAGTACATGAGCAGTTATGGAGGGTTAGAAGACGCAGCAACAACTATGCGAGTTTATATTTCAAAGTAGTGAAAAGTTGTGTTGTTTTACAGGGATGTTAATTAGAACGAAGATATGTTAAATATGACATTTCTGCAATTCGATTATAAAGCATACGAAATCACCACTCAGCGCTGTACGGGTCTATGGGTTTGAATTTTGTAAGCAGTGGTTCAAGAAAATCAGTATCAGAGAAATCGTAGTTGTATGTGTAGCATATAATGAAGAGCACAGTTATCCGATTTTTCAAGTTAATCTCTCCTCATGAAGTGGATATATTCTTACCCATTTCTAGAATATTGTAGTGGATATTATACCACTCCTCTACTATAACTTATATTGGCTGCTATCCCAGCTTCCAACTATCCAGATATGTGACCACCAGTTATCAAGTTTGGATTCGCTTTTTCGTAGAGCTCATCCTCCTTTTTACAACTAAATAACAACCTAACACAAAAGGAAACTTTAGAGAAGCTTATTATTTTGTGGTTTATAAATTAGGATCAATTTGCAGGAGAATTGGTTTCTATATAGTCTGTATTTCACGGTTTAATACTTTTGTCCATTTATTTTTTATTCATAAACAACAAAATTCCATACCGTGCCTATAGTATTTCTTAG